TGAACAGGCGAACGTTCATCTAAATCGTGTGGTATCAGATGTGGAGAGGCGTGGGGGGCCCGGGGGAGAAAGCATTAATTCTTCCAGCTTTAGACCCCGACGTAATATTTAAAACGTGGATTGTTTTTCAAATAAACTTTTCAATGGACACGACAGCACCTCATCCTGCGTTAATACTGCATTGCAACTATAAAGAAAACTAGTGGAGGTACGCCTATCTCCTATCTCTCTAGTTGGCAAAAAAAGGGAAAAAAAAAAAGGCAATTTTTAACATTTTCTCGTTTATTCCCCTCTAAAAGGCGGGCAAGGCCCCCGATCACGTGATCCCGCCCCCCCCTCCCCCACCAACTAAGGGCGGAAGAGGCCGGCGACACCTCTGCACGAAGCGAGTGGGCGGCCGCTCGTGCCCGGCTAAAAGATGGCTGCTGCCGCCGGGCAGCCACCGCCTGGGAGGTTACTGTAAGGCCCGCAACTCCCGCCAGCTCCCGCGAACCGCTGCCGCCTCCTTACCATGAAGCCAGTGAGTCGTCGCACGCTGGACTGGATTTATTCTGTGGTAAGTCCCGGGGCTCGCGGGCCCCCACCGTCTCGACTCACTGGGCCTGCAGGCAGAAAGGCTCTACTTCTTCAGCACCCAGAAACTCCAAAATCCATTCCTGAATTAAGCATTTCACTCCCTCACCTCGACTCCGCCTCTTCCTGGAGGATACGATCTTCCGCTTCTTACGTAAGGGCAGCTGGGTGTACCCGCCACTGGAACCCCATTTATTCGACTTTGTTACTTTAATTCCCACCTTAGCAATGGCACACGGTAGCCTGACGGCGGGGGGAAATACCAGGCACATTTCACACCTCTTTTGGTTTTTGGTTTAGTTGCTGCTTGTCATCGTTTTAATCTCCTGGGGCTGCATCATCTATGCTTCAATGGTGTCTGCAAGACGACAGCTAAGGAAGAAATACCCAGACAAAATCTTTGGGACGAATGAAAATTTGTAACTCCTCTGGATTTACTTCTCTGAAAATGGTTCTTTCCCTCATGCTTAGGTAGATTTAAAAGTAAAATTCATAATGCAAAGTTCCCAAGTTTATTTTTGCATTATCCTTTATAACAAGCACTAGTATGCAAATTTGCAGAAATATCAGGCACATTTCACACCTCTTTTGCAGTTTTTGGTTTAGTTGCTGCTTGCCATCGTTTTAATCAACTGGGGCTGCATCATCTATGCTTCAATGGTGTCTGCAAGACGACAGCTAAGGAAGAAATACACAGACAAAATCTTTGGGACGAATGAAAATTTGTAACTCCTCTGGATTTAATTCTTTGAAAATACAGTTCTTTCCCTCATGCTTATGTAGATTTAAAAATAAAATTCATAATGCAAAGTTCCCAAGTTTATTTTTGCATTATGTTTTGTAACAAGCACTAATATGCAAATTTTTAACTTAGAAATTTTAGTATTTTACATTCTCATGACAAAATTAACAGCAAATAAGCTTTTCAATGAAGTTTCTAAATTCTTTAAAAATGACTCGGAAAG